ATCACTGCTATACTCATCCTAGGCTTGCCCCAGGAAAGTCTCTAACTCCACCCTACCCGGTCCTCAGCTATTGAAGGCCTCCTTGTAATGCCAATTAGTCATTACCTGAGTACCATCACCTGTGGTGAGGCTCAGATAATCCTTCGAGTAACAGACTCGGCTCTACACGATTAGACTCAAACAAAAGTTGCGCAATAGGGCCAAATCCAGCACTCTTAGATTATTCAACCCAGATCACATGTGACATGACGTATTCACCTAATGTCTAGCTCCCATCACTCAGAGTCCCACGAAGCACAAAGCAAGCAACATTCATACAAAAGGGAACAATATCAAGAAAATTCGTCCTCATAGAGAAAAGCTGAACTAGCATACAATGCTAAACTCATGCTATCAGGCACAACCTAAACATGCTATCCTACTGCTGTCTACTCTATTCTAGCATGCAGTTTCCATACACTGAAGCACATAAAGCAGGCACATAAGGCATCACTCCTAGATCCTTAGTCCTATTCTGTTGTTCTACTGAAATTGATAAAGATAACATAAGCTTGTATGGGTACTTTGGGGAATACTTATTTGAGCTCGACCGGTCGCGCACATTACACACTTCGTTCTTTCTTAAAACGCTTTACTTAGCTTTTTAGAAAATATTTTCTCCTTTAAAATCTTTTCATCCCTCGATTTGAGTTCAGACACCCCCGAAGGTGTGTCCGAATCCCTCAAACCAGGGCTCTAATACCAACTTGTAACATCCCAAAAATACAAGCCAAAATTTTCATTTTTAAAACATATACTTAACAAACATTAGAAATAAAACGTTCACCAATCATATCATTTCATAAAAGTTATCGCATGTCTTGAAAAACATTTTAGAAATCATAATAATGTCAGAGTACAAATTCCCAGGAGGATCTCATAGTGCGGATTACAAGGCATGTGAGTGATGGGCCGCTACCGCGCCAGCTCCTTCCCCTTCGAAGAAGAGGTACCTGAAAACTGTAAGCACGAACCTTAGTGAGTTCCCCCCAACATACCACATACCATACAATCACATAACATTCATATATTGTCAGGCATATCTGGGTGCCTGACCTACCGCTTCGGTCCTCTCGATCGGATACTGTCTAGTATATATGGGAGTTGGCCTCCCCTTCGGTCCTCTCGACCGGATACTGACCAGTATATCTGGGAGCTTGCCTCCCCTTTGGTCCTCTCGACCGGATACTGACTAGCATATCTGGGTGCTGGTCTCCCCTTCGGTCCTCTCAACCGGGTACTGGGGACTATTTCACCCCGTACTACTACCACATAACACATATATCACGTAATCTATCTAGCATGGCTGGGCATGACCACCCCTTTGGCGCTATCGACCGGTAACCTGGGGGACTATCTCCCCCTACTGTCACTAGCACATAGCATCATATCATACCAGCACAAAAACATATCACGGGTATTAGCAACCATAGATGAATATTACAGAGACAATCATCTATCATACAACTCCTACTGGTGGGACGACATTGTGGCCGTAGACTCACCGCTACTGGAAAGTAACTCACCTCAAAGTAGCTGCTGATCTGCGTGGGAACTGACTGTCTTCTGCTGCTGCTGCCCCGGAAATCCTCCGGCTATAATCCCCACAAAACACTCAGTCAAATACTGCTAATCGACCTCAGGGTAAAATGACCATTTACCCCTAACCAAGCCAAGAGTCAAAGTTAAAGTCAACTTCCAGTTGACCCGACTCGCCGAGTTGGCCTGCCAACTCGTCGAGTCCCTATCCCTTTGTCTGACCATAATCTCGTCTCTACTCGTCGAGTTAGGCATTGACTCGACGAGTTTTCCTTCTAAACCAAAGTCCAATAGTCCTTCATCCTACTCGCCGAGTTGTATGAACAACTCGTCGAGTTCATCTTCATCCGAAGAACACTCCATACTGAGACTCGCCGAGTTGTATGAACAACTCGCCGAGTCTGTTCTTAAGGCAAGATTGCCTTGGACTCGCCGAGTCAGGGCATTGACTCGTCGAGTTCCTTCATGGGTGAGTCTGGCTTCCGACTCACTGAGTCACACCCCATGACTCACTACTCCACTCCGCAAACACGAAAAGGGGGAAAACTCGGAGACTCGCGACTCGACTCTCTGAGTCCGATGAATGACTCGCCGAGTCTTTCACATGCAAATACTATATACTCGATTTTGCTCGAATCCAGCTCATGCCATACATAGATCTGGGTTTCTAGGGCTTGATTAACACGTAAAGTTTCCAACTTTACGTGTAAATAAACACTAATGAAGGTTTTGGGGCTCAAAATGCACCAAAAGAGTAGATCTAGGGCTTTCATGTAATATGGCTCCATAAAGGCAGTAGATCTGAGTTCCTGGAGCTCAGTCATGCCTAGATCTAATGGTTAATCAACTTATTACAAACCCTAATTCATAATCAAGCTTGGAAATGGCTCAAGAAGGACTTTAATGGAGCTATAAAGGACTATAAGCATGAAAACAGGGGGAAACTGAGTTATACCTCAAGAAAATCACTGAAATAACACCAAGATGTTTGGCCTCCTTCTTCCCTTCTTGATCTACTCTCCTTTCCTCTCAAAATCTTTAAGAAAACACACCAAATCACTTCAATCTCACAAGGAACAAGGGTTGGACGATATAGGGAGCTCTGAGGGTGAAGGGGGCGAGCTTGGGGGCGTATAAGATGACTTAAATAGGGTGCAAACTCTTGAAATTTAGGGTTTCAACAGACAATGGGAACTCGCCGAGTCGCCAATTTAAACGTGTTCCAAATCCCGTCTCTACTCGGCGAGTAAGGCCGACAACTTGCCGAGTCCAATGCTGAAAATGCAAAACACTTAGATAAATTTTACATACCAGGAACCAAGTGCTACAGTAGTTGTAAAAGAAAGTCCTTAGTATCATTGTATAAAACAAAACATTTTCCCCAAACCTTACAAAATCAGGGAGTCACAATAGGTGATGGAAAATCCATTTTATGTAAAAATATGTATTTTTTGAAATGATATTTTTTGAATAAATTATATAAGATTAATGGTAAAATGTGTACAAAAAGTTTAATGGTAAAATGTACACAAAAAAAAGTTTAATGATATAATGTGTACAAATAATAGTTTAATGGTATAATGTGTACATAATATACAATAAAATCCACGTCAGCAGCCACATGGCATGCCACGAGGCATGTTACGTGGCTGGTGACCTACTATTACCGGTAACATAATGGTATTTTTTTAACAAATGTGAAGTTTAATGGTCATATGTGTACAACAACTATAGTTGATTGGTGATATGTGTACAAAAAAAGTTCAATGGTATTTTTTGTACAAGTCTAATACTTCGTTACCCTTACAAGTCATTTTCCCTAAAAAAGACACACAATAAAGAACGATGGAAAAATCTGGAAGACAACTTGGAACCTTAATTAGAACATGGACTAGTTTCAAAAAGGTTCTTAACACAATCACAAGTTCAGATCGAAAAACCACAAAGACTTGAAAATTTATACTAAACAAGATGGAACAAAATAACATGAAATTCGACTTTAATTTTCCGTTTTGCTTTTTCACTTTGCACCCTTTAGAATTATTTAGTATTACTTCACTAGCCTCATCCTTGAATATTCATATTTTCATCACTGCATCAGTGCATCTGCGTCTTTTCTTTACTCTGGATGCAATTGAAAACGAAAAAACACATCTGCGTCTTTTCTTTACTCTGGATGCAATTGAAAACAAAAAAACACATCTGCGTCTTTTCTTTACTCTGGATGCAACTGAAAACCAAAAAAACAAAAGTAAATCATCGGTTACTTGATAAACCAAATGCTCAAATTGTTTTTATGTTAGCTTTTTTACTTTTAAATGTTTGACCACTTACTTGATTTGAAGTTAGAACTTGTACTTCTTGATTGATTGGCTGTAAACCAAAAACATATAAAACATGATTTTCTACACGAGTTGAAACGACATGATAATAGACAACCTTGGTTATTTGGGACAAAATTAACATAACATTTATAACCCATGAAACATGAAACCCAACAAGATCTATGAAAAACACTTGATTAATCAAGAAAAAGTCTCAACTAAATTTAATGCAATGCATCAAGATATATATATATATATATATATATATATATATATATATATATATATATATATATATACACACACCATGTGGCTTATCATTTGTTTCTGGTTTTTTGAACATATCATTAATATGGACGTCTGACGAAAGAAATATGTAACCAAAAACGATGTTCACCACCCTGTCAAAAACAAAATCACACACACATGTAACAACAAAATCTACAGACCAGTATGCTTACAAAAATAATTTTAAAATGACTCACACGTTTACTAAAATTACTTGTAGATGGGTGATCATGCCTGGAAAGTAAAAACAAAAAGGATTATATGGATAAATCATCGGTAACTTGATGATATAACCCTAATTAGCAAATGGAGCATGGTAACTTGATAATATAACCCTAACTGGCAAATGGAGCATAGTTAAAGAGTACCATTAAGTCACTTTTTGTTTGTTACATAAGACATGACTGGTTTGATGTTAAAGGGATGAAAATTGTAATTTTTTGTCCCACCTAAAAATATACTTATAAAATAAGGAGACATGAAATTTAGCAAACCTGAATCCAAAGATGTTCTTAGTTTTGAATGGCCACTATCTTGAGGGGGAAAATGCGTTATGTTAACAATTAAAAGCAATATCACCTTAGTATTTGTATAATATCAAAATACTTGATTAATTTACCCGTTTTATAACATTTTTATCGTTAAAGATGTGCTACAAGTTACCTAGTCGTGCTCGTATATGATTCCCCAAGGCTTGATTGATTGTCACTCATTGGTTGCTGATTTGTGGTTGTATGTAAAAATATAAGAAATATGAGAATTTAGAAGCACCAACTCCTACAAAACATAACTAAGTAAAACCGTTTTCTTCTAAGAGATAACCTGCAAAGATAATTTCTTGAGTGCTTCGAGCTTTTTCCGACAAAAAAAGGTCCAATAAGGTATATGTTTGTATCTTTCCAACCACAACCCCCAATATTCCATGTATAATCCATCAACCGCTGTTAAACGGAATTATAAAAATTGGATATACTTTTGAAGACAAAACTAAAAGACTAACTTTTCAAGAAAATATAACGATCAGACGAAAACTAGATGGAAAATTTAAAGTGCTTATATAGTATAATACGTTGTTTTTCATCAATGTTTGCCTTCTTTGCAAAATCATCAATAACTCTTTTAAAGCCACGTGCCCTGAAGAAATCAAGAAAATATCTTGTCAACCTGAAAAAAGTAAAACCACACAAAATAACAATTAATTACAGAATCTACAAACATATATAGTTATATACTTACAAAAATAAACTCAAAATGACTCACACCAAAATCCCGCCTTTAGCATCATCACTAATCTCCATTAATGCCAAATATCTGCAAATAAATTAAGTATGAAGAATTGTTGCGTGCAATTCATAACAAAATACCGCATATTGTTCCAGAAATATTCCAAGATCATATTTGACATACGTAATACAACATAAAAAACAACAAACTAGTAAGAACCAAGGCCGGTCCAGACGGTGGGCAACACGGGCGACCGCCCAGGGCCCACCGACTCCAGGGGGCTCAAAATTTATGGGCTATGTAGTGTATATATATATATATATATATATATATATATATATATATATATATATATATATATATATATATATATATATATATATTACCAAAATGATTGTTAGGGCCTAAACTTGGTTCAAACTCAAACTAGCTAAAAAGATAAACAATTTGGTTTGTTTGTTATTGTTAATTGAATGTGTTTATACTGAAAAATAAATGATATTTTTTTGAATTTTTATTATATTTGTCTTTAAAGGACCCTTTTTTTCCTATCGCTCTGGGACTCATATACGTTTGGACCGGCCCTGATAAGAACTCTAAATAAGGAAAAATAAATAGAACAACCCAAAATTATTGCAATCCCCGGCCTTAAATCTTCCTTTTCCTTATCGATAAAGCTTTTGGGAGTTGCATATATTTCTAAAAGGGGGAAGGGGGCCTTTTAGCCTAGGACCTTATGATTCATGGTTTTATGCACATTGATGTCAATTAAATGAAAAATTAGCACGATGACAATATAGTTTAGTCCGCATGTACAAAATATTTTGTCCTTCAACTATGCTTAGTGGTAGTGGCTGTCTAAAGGACCCTAATAAATAAAAATGATTTTGTCACATATTATTTTGTAATAATTTAGAGATATATTTATTTTCCACTTGTCATGTATTTCATTTTGCATTTCTAATATATTATTAATTAGTTTCCACAAATTAAACCTACCATAATGATATTAATTTTAAATTTTAAATTTTAATTTCAATTTCAAATAAATTTATAGTTTTAACCTTTGTGTTTAACATTTTGTTATAATAAACCTGTTTAGTATACGGATCTGATAACTAAATAATAATTTTAATTTATTTATTTTTGGCATGTTTTTTTTCTCATAATTTTTATTTATTTCAAATTTCGAATTCAAATAAACTTCTCATTTAATCGTTTCTATTTAACATTTTGTTTTAATCAACCCGTATAATATACGAGTTTCACAACTAGTGTATATATATATATATATATATATATATATATATATATATATATATATATATATATATATATATATATATATATATATATATATATATATATAGTAGCACAATATTGCTTGTCGCTTTTCAACTTAGTTGTATTTAGCACACATGAACGAGTTTATAGCAAAGGTAGGCATTTATCAAAGCTCCACTACAGCCAAGCCGCCTAAGTATGTCAATTTTTCCACATATACGAATGTACAACAAATAAAACTTATGCAATTTAAAAGTTTACATCATGCAATTTTCAACAATATCCCATAAACATTAATCACATTCCATATTCAACAAATTTAGTGCAATGAACCCCTTGTAAATCACATGAAACTCACCTCAACGTTGTTTGCTCTTGGGATGGACATCTCAAGCAACCTTGAACTCCTACAAGTCTCAAACAAGAATTTCAAAGACAATGTAACACTTCATATATAGAATCTAAAGGTCCCCAACACGTCCTATTGCATACTAGGTTCAATCTTCCTATGCCAAGTTCGATCAATCAAGGTTTGCAATTTTTCTAATAAACATAATTTGATGCCAACTTGGGAAATCTTCAAACTTTACTAATAAAATAGTGCCCAGATCTTACACATAGTCCTTGCTTGCATCTAAATGTAACTAACGTAATGTTATAGTATTCTTACGAGAAAAACTATTTGAAAATTTTTAAATATCAAAATTTGCATTTCTAAATAAATTCCATAATATTAATGTCATGGGTGAAGACCATAACCTTCAAGAAAAATATAATTCTATTTCAGACAAAATTGAAATGTCAATTCCTATGGAACATATTCATCACAACAACAATGAGTTTGAGTTCATCATTACCATACCTGCAATCAAAACCTTATTGTTTCTTCTCCGCAAACTTGTTTGAAACTTCTTCTGCCTTGTGCTGAAACTTGTTTTATACCCCATAACTTTCCAATTTCAACAACACAACTTGTTGTTTCCTTCAAATCAATTTTAAATTGTCAATTTTGATTTGCTTTTCTGTATTTATCTTTATCTTCCCATAAATAAATTGCCAATGCCACAGTTTATGACATTTTTTTTTTGTAGACTATAACTTTTATACCAAATACGGATAACTTATGTTCAAAACTATGACTTTCAGCTTTCAAAATTATAACTCTTCGACCAAATATGAATTAGTGATCATTAAATATGTTAAGCTTTTTAATACTTCAACAGATATGACTTTCTAGTTTCAAGAACAAACCATTAACATTCGCTTTATTTTAAGAAAGAGAGAAAGATGAAACTTACAGATCCTATGGAGAGGAGAGAAGGATAACACGCGTGGCTGGTCGGAAGTGCAGTTCTCCGGTCGGATTTGCAGGTCGGGGAACAACAGAGACGAGACAAAGAAGTCAGCAAGGCGGACAAGAGAGATAAGTCACAACTGATGATCACTCTTTTTTCCGGTTTAGATGATTTTTAGGCTAATTTTCTGTATGTTTGAGATGATTTTTGGGTTTTAGTTTCTTTACCCTAATTTTCTTAGAATGGGTACTGATTTTTCCCTGGTTTTTGGGTTTCTGTTAAAATGACTTTCCTAATTTTTCGTAATGAAATAATTAAATTGATTGGTTTCTAGTTATTTAGAGTTAACAGCTAAGTAGTTATTTAATTTAAATACTTTTTAAATATGATCACATATATGATGATTGATGAACCTAAGGGCTAGCAAGAAAAGCAAAAACCAAACCTCCTACTCTAGCTAAATATTACACTAAACATTTTCACATTACACACCACTCTTGCATTTTTACTACTTTTAATTAAAGATAATTTTCCTTTTTATGTTTTCAATGCAACTTTTATAAATTTAGAAAAACATCCAGATAAAACTATTAGGTAACTTTATGAACGACATCTTAAGAAGGATAAAGTGGACGATTGTACATTGTCAATCTTTTTGGGGCTCATTGTTTTTATTTTTATTTTTATATTACACTTTATATCGTCGTTTTTAGAGTAGTTTTAATTTATATAATTTAATTTGTTAAACATTAGAGAATAAAGATATGTTTTTTTCGGACTCGTCCAGGACCGACCCTAATGCTATTGATGCCATTATAACTGAGGTGGCAGCCCCATAAGGCCTTCATAACTTGGAGAAGACGGCCCCACCCTCGTTATGTTAATTGTGTGATGTTACATTTGAGGTGACAATTTTATCTTGTTATAACAACGACCCATACCTAGGGGGTAAAATAAGTTAAACACAAAAACCAATAATAATTATATATTCATATTAGCCTTCACCCTTTTACATAGTTTATGCATATTAAACTTAATTGCAGAATAAAAAAAATGAAGTAAGGTATGAAATGAAGACTCCAAGACTCTCCGTAGTAAGTTTCCTATGTTTCTTTTGGCACCATAACCGGTGGAATGCCGACGCTAACCACCACCAACTTGCTTATGTAATTATGACTATGTGTCCATCCTCTCCGCCGTCATCGGCGAAATGCCGCCACAAACACTGCAACAAAACCCTTTGTTGATCCTCCCAACCATCATAGACGGAATGTCACTGCATCACACCCCTCTCTCAACCCCCTACATCATCTCTAGTGGAACGTTGCTACCCACCACCGCATCACACTCATTTATCAATCATTTTAGTTCTCTTATATTTAAAGCTTTTTTTTGTCTATCTTTACATATGGATGGAAGATGGGAACATAAGAAATAAAGATCCGGAGTTATATTCTAGGATGAAACAATATTGTCATAAAAATAAATATAGTGCAACTTTCACACTTTGTTTTAGTTCATTTTTTTTGCATGGCTTGAAATTATTTAAATGTAAAAAAACTAAGAAAGAAACTATGTAATTTTGTGATGTTTAAATTCTTTTTCAACATATGAAACGAAAGAAATAGTTTATTATTTTTGTGATTATTTATTTAATTTTATAACTTAGTTATCATTATATAACGAGTAAGATGACAAACGGAAAACAAGATATGATGTTAAACCTTTTTGTATACTGCATCCATAAATTTAGATGATATATTATGCATTATCCGTTTGTATTTTATTTTAAGCATCTCCAATTGTTAATTCATATTAAGATTTATAACTATTATCACATCATCATTATTATAAATTAACCCATAATTAAATAACAACTCTAATGATTAACCTCCTCAAATAGCTTTTCTTTATAAAACTTTAACTAATTTATCCCCTTATTTAATTATTCATTTTTTTTAAACAAACATGGTATTTTAATCTTTATTAAAAATTTTGTAATACATTGTTTCTAAAGAAATATATTACAACATATCGTTCGGAAAAATTAGTATGGAAAAACTATTACGGAATAATGATAAAAAAATATTGAACAAATATATATATATATATATATATATATATATATATTATATATATATATATATATATATATAATCATTTTAATTTTATATTCCATAAAAAAATGTCATTAGATATTTAATATAGATAATTAGTTAGTAAATAAATAAAAATATTTAACTAAAATATACTTAGAAAGATAAAATGAAATATAAGGTAGTTAAATGACAAAGTACAAAAATATATTGACCACTCAATATATTGAGTGGTCAGTATGAAAAAAACAAATAAATTCTATGCTCTAATGGTGATAAGTTGTAAAGAAATAAATGTCAATAATAACAATAAGCTTTAAAAAAGTTCTAATTGAAGATGCTCTTAGTAATATAATAGATTTTCAAAAATTGGCTTATTTTTTTGTGGTATCAATACAAATTATACAAAAAAAAAGTTACAATTGCATCTAGGGGTGTTAAAAAATATCCGCATTCGAAAAATCTAAAAATCCGAAAATCCGATCTGAATTTATCTGAAATTTCGGATACCCGAATTTTCGGATTCGGAAACGGATAACTTTTTTGTAACATTTCGGATATCTGAAATCCGAAAAATATGATTTTATTTTGAGTTTATTTTTTTATTTAAAAACACTTATATTTTATAGTATCTCAATTAATAACTAAAAATATTCATAATACCAATAGTTAAAATCCTTTATTAATACATTTGCTAATACATTTGCCTTTGTATTGAAATAGCATGCTGGTCATGAGAATGAAAGAACTAAAGCATTCACACACAGTGGCAGATGCAGAAAGTTGTCATAGCAGTGATACAATTTTTTTCGTCCGAATATAATAAAATAAAAAAAATTAAAAGTACTAATACATCAAATCGATCCATTATATCTTAATATTAAAATTTGACATCTACGGGTACACATTTTTTGAAACCGATCCATTACATCTTCGATCTTCAGTTTCATAAGTGCTTCTTTTTCAACATAAGAAATCATGGCATCGTTCAAAAAATCATCACCTATTTTGTTACGCAAATCCGTCTTCTACAACTTCATCGCTGAAAAACATCTTTCAACTGTTGTGGTTGCAATGGGTAAAACCAAAACCAACTTCAACAACCTATAAACCATAGGATAAGACCGATGTTTCCCCGTTTTCACCATCAAACGAGAAAGATCGGATATTCCTTGCAAAATAGTGAACCGGTCATCTTTATGTAAAGCGTGATAATATATTTCTAGTTCACCATCAAGTTGCATCCTCTCCTCATCATCAAAATCTTTTTTGTATAACTCACTCAACTTTAACAACTTTGTTTTGTCAATACTCAAACTGTTACGGGTAAAAACATCATCTATCGTAGCTTTAAGAGTCAAAGAGGATGTATCATTCACGTGCACCACTCCAATGAATCTTTCCTTCACCACTCCACGGTTGTTCTTTTTTTTTTTTTTTTTTTTTTTTTTTTTTTTTTTTTTGATACATCACTAGATTCATCAACTAATAAAGAAAATACATCTTTACCAATTTCTTTACAAATATCTACAACTATCTATGTTGAAACGCATTCAACAATTTTCTTTTGAGTCCTCGTATACATCACTTGATTATTTTGAGGAGCATTTTTTAAGGTAACATTGTGAATGCCTTCATTATGGTCTCTCAAGAAAGATAATAACTCCAAGAAAAAGCCCTCTATTAAGAGAGTCACTCGACTCATCATGACCCCGAAATGGTTTCAATAAAAATTTACAACACGAAATTGAAGCACCTAAACGAAGTTTATAATTACTCTCCTCAATCTTGGTTTGCTTCTTGAAGGCTACACTAATAGATTGTTTTTCTTTCAATAAAAATTCACAATTTTCTTTTGCTTTGTGATGAAAACTATCAATACCACCCATATGATCTCTCAATGACTGTCTTTTATTCCAACTATCAAAACCTTGTGAAACAAATGCATCTCTCCCATGTTGTTTTCCCACCATGTCTGCACATACATAGCAAAATAATCAAAATGATTTGTTCTCTTTTATGCTATATTCTAACCAATCAAAGTCATCAAACCACTTAACAACGAAACGTCTTTCTTTTGAACCTATTTTCTTTGAAGGGAATGTATGACCCCTTGGTTGACAAGGTCCTTGAAGCAAATATGTCCTCCTTATTTCATCTCTTTGATTTGGATGGTAAGTTGTAATCTTTGGTCTAACATACAAGTCTTTTAGAAGATCTTTATATACAACATTTTAATTGGAGTAGTTGTAGGTTGTGGATTTACAATAGAAACCGGAGGGAATGATTGATTAGAAGGACATGGTCTTTCAGAGGATTCTTCAAACCTTAAATCATTGGATCATGGTCTTTTGGAGGATTCTCCAACACTTGATTTATTGATGCTTGTTCTTCCAAAAATTGACCCAATTTTATCGTGACAATTCAATATCAAACAAACAAGCCATCCAATTGCTCAAAAACTCAATGGAAAAGAAACTAATTTGAATAATTTCAAGGTTAACAATCTAAGTATCTAACATTCTAAGAACAAGTTACAAGTAAACAAGTCATTTCAAGGTTAAGAACTACTAATTTCACCTAAACAATAAGAAATTTTAACAAAAAAACAACTAATTTGACTAATTTCATAAACCTAAAATTATCAATACTTATTTTTTTCATTGTATTTATAGGTTTGAAAGGAGTGTGAAGCCAAGCCAAGAAAAATCGAAATACTTATGCCTTGCTATCTTGGTTGTAATCAATTGAATGGAGGCTAGAAGAGGCGGAGGCCGATTTTTTTTTCTTGTTCGCAGCTTTCACAAAAGTGCTGAAGTGCTTGTCACACCCCAAAACCGCTAGCGGAAACGTTCCGGGGCGGAGGACGTCATGTATATCATCACAACCAATGATTAACAACAATCATAGCAACACAACCATTACAGTTAATACTTTAATAGAAATGTTTACATTTGTTTGAAATTTAGTTTGAATTACATCCAATAGTTTTGCATAGTAAAAAAAAACTTAAAAACTCTTAATGATTCAGTTCCTCGAAAATCCAGCAAGTACCTATCTACTGATTTCCTGAGAATACAAGCAGTTAAAAAAAAATTTATCAACATAAAGCTGGTGAGTTCGTAAGCAGTAATTTGTAATGAAAACTTGTTGATGAACAAGCCGAAATGTTTGTGCAATCTCCAGAAAA